GGTCGTGGGGCTTGAACTCTGGGCCTGGGCGCTGTCCCTCAGCTCTTCAGCTCAAGGCGAGCGCTCTACCACTTGAGCTACAGCGCCACTTCCTAGGATAATCTTACCAGACAAGCAGAAAAGGTCAAAAGCTATGTACATATGACCATATAAGATGCTCCTAAGTGAAATGAACCCCAGGATATGGACACAAGAGATTTTTCCTTTGTTGCTGTTGTTTTTAGTGTACTATTTATGTATTTTGTTAGTTTTGAATAGCTGCAGAAAGGGTTCATTCAGTTTAGGGGTCCACTGCGTCTTGATCAATGTCACCCCTTTCCACCATTTTCCTTCCTATCTATGCCAACTCCACTCATGGCTTCAGATTTCCTGGTTCTATTTTCACATTGACTATTACAACCATGTTACAACCATATTCCTCTTTCCATTTAGCCATCATCCTCCCCTTGAGTCCCACTTCCCTCAGACAAAACAAGTTTCAGCTTCCTGGTAAGTCATTTGTTAAACTGTCCTTGTCAGTTAATTGTCCGAAGGAGTTATATCATCAGAGCTACCCCTGCAGATACCTCCATTCATTATTTCAGTGGCCAGTTGACCACAACTATCTGAATCTTCAGAAGGTGAAATTGTGAGTAGAGTAGCAGGGGAGGGGGGGCAGGGAAGCACTGTCCTTTCCTTCTTCCCCCACCGCCCACAATCCTTTCTCTATTGGCACCCCCTTTAACTCTGGAAGTATCAAAATCTATAGTTAATCAATTGAAGGAGAATACATAGAAATGGGACATGGTGGAAAGGAGAAACAGAAATGAAGCCAGTCATATCCCAGGCTCTGAGCATCCTTGCTATTACAGGCTGTATCTTCTCGAGGGAGATGTTGGCTTTTAAATCAAGGTTGGCATTTTTTATTACTGTGCCAGGCCAGCATATTAAGTACTGAATTGAAAACCTGAAAGCAACATTTTCCCGGAACACATGGTAAACAGCAATATACTTTCCAACTCTTAGCTCATTGCTCACTTCCTGTCTTTACCTTGCTGTGTCTGCTGGGCTCCTAGCAAACCCCACTCTCAGTACCCTACAACCCTCACTTTCTCTTGCTTCATTATTTGCATGTTTTTGCCTTCCAGCAACCTTTAAACCCCGGAAGGGCAGGGATGAATTATTCTCCTTTATAACACTAGTGCTTAGTGTTCTCTGACTCATAATTGTCCCCCAATAAAGATAGATTAAAATAATTTCTTTAAAAAACGACTAATTTCCCACTACAATTCAAATTCATCTTTATTTTGGAGAGATTAAAAACAGCATTCTTCTCAACCACACAGTGCAATTGTAGATGTCGTTTGTGACTTAGATACTAAAGGAGGGCTCCTAGCTACTCAGGAGGCTGAGATGTCAGGATCTTGATTCAAAGCCAGCCCAAGAAGGAAAATCTATGAGACTCTTATTTCCAGTTAATCACCAAAAAGATGGAAGTGGAGCTGTGGCTCAAGTGGCAGAGCACCAGCTTTGAGCAAAAAAGCCTAGGGACAATGGCCAAGCTCTGAATTCAAGTTCCCTGGGAGCTCTCTGGCAGTTTATGGATAGACATTGAGTCATTTCTGGTTTTCTCCAAAGGTTGAGAAGTTGTCAGGGATTCTTTTTTTTTTATTGGATTGTGCTTCTCTCACAGGTTTCTTCAGGAGAAGTATCACAAAGAACGCCGTGTACAAGTGTAAAAATGGGGGCAATTGTGTGATGGACATGTACATGCGACGAAAGTGTCAAGAGTGCCGGCTAAGGAAATGCAAAGAGATGGGGATGTTGGCTGAATGTATGTATACAGGTATTCACTTCAAGCAATTCAATTCCACTAAAAATCTCTTAAGGAGGCAGGTGGCAGGTAACCCCTATTGAGAAAGTGTTTCTTCACATACTAAAGAAAGTATCTACTCAAGAACCATCTAGGCTCTTGAAAAGGGTAATGAGCCACTGGAATCATCCAAACTGTCAACTAAAGAGCACCTCTTTCTCATGGAAAAATATAACTTCTAATTTTTTGGTTCTTTGTTGCAAGGGATGGCACATGAAATAAAATGGCATTAATATATGGTTAAAATACCATGCATTAATGAGGCACAGAGAATGTCAGTCTGAAAATTTTCCTCTAAAGTTGATTTTAATATATTCTTGCTTATTACTTAAGTAAGCTAAAAATTCACCAGGGTGGGGAAAAAACAAGAATGCTTTATAAAGTGTAACTGCCTCTGAATTATCTAAATAGAGTTTTAAACCAAGTCATTTGCTTAAGACTCCATTCTTCACTTGGTATAGCTTTGAATGGACTTGTATAAGTTTACACAGGAAATTAACTACCCTGAGTTTTAATATAATGTTATCCCATCATCTGATAAAGAGACACTGTATTAACTGCATGGCTTTGTGAGGAACCACAATCTTCATCAAAAATTGGAATGCATATTAGTATATAACATAATTAATTTTTCATTCTGCAAGTTCTATGGACCACTCTGATTCTGAGATATGGCCTGTTCTTCCTCAAACACAAATAGACAAACAAATGTCACCAAGGTGATGATCACATTCAGGAAAGGAATGTCACATGAAATAAAGCCTGTGGAAGGTGACTCCAGTTCTATTATTCCTAAACTATACAGGCAACTAGGATGGACCCGGAGAAATAATGTGTTCAGGAGGGGGGAAAATAGGTCTGTGTAAATAATCCAGCTCTGGGTGGATGAAAGTTTTATGGTGGCTGATCACAATCTCATTTTAGCATACATGAAACAAGAACCTGAATAAGGGATGTTGCTGGAATCCAATCTCACAATGGAAATACATTGACACGGGGTGGTTCATGTTGCTCATCACTTAAATATGAACTTGTTCCATTGAGCTCTGACAGCGCTCTGCATGAGTCTCTCTAGAAAAACCTATAGTTTTCTTATTTATGAATGCAAATTTTTCCAGGATCAGGTATAGATCTTTCATGAATCTATCAAATACATTTCCTGTATCAAGTACTTCCTGGAACTTGGTTTCATTGAGAGAAGAATAAAGAAGTTCTGATCGTATGGAAAGTTATTCTATACTAATTTTTTTTGTTAGTCATGGCGCTTGAACTCTGGGCCTGGGCGCTGTCCCTCAGCTCTTCAGCTCAAGGCTGGCACTCTAACACTTGAGCTACAATGCTACTTCTGGCTTTTTCTACTTATGTGGTGCTAAGGAATAGAACCCAGGGCCTCATGCATGAGAGGCAAGCACTCTACCACTGAGCCACATTTTCAGCCTCTATACTATTTTTATAACTCTGTTTAGATAGAAACTAATGATGACATTATATGTCATTCAAAAAAGTTTAGTCACTTTGGGTTAGTCATCTTCCTAGCACTTAAAATGACTTGGGAAAATTATAAAAAGAAAACGTTCTTTGAGGCTCATAAATTGAGAGTTTGTACATAATCAGTTGGACCTATTGCATTTAGATCTCTGTAGGCATGTTGAATGGCAGGGTTGGAGAGCTCATGGCAGAGCAAAACTGCTTAGGCCAATGCAAGGAAGCAAAACAGAAAGAGGAAGGGGATGGGGTATCACAAGCCCCTTTGCAGTGGCTAAGGGCCTTTGGGCGGGGATAGGGGGGCAAAAGCATTCAAGATCCAAATTATGGTACTTAAATATTTTAACAGGAACTGGGCTCTGGTGTATCATGGCTGTAATCTTAGCTACTCAGGAGGCTGAGGTGTGAGGATCAAGGTTCAAAGCCAGCATGGGCAAGAAAGTTCATGAGACTCATCATCAATTAACTACCAAAAAGCCAGAAGTGGAGCTGTGGCTCAAGTGGTAAAACACTAGTGTTATGCACAACCAGTTCAAGGACAGCACCCAGGCCCTGAGGTTCAAGCCCTAGGACCAGCACACACATACACACACATATACGACAGCACACACACACACACACACACACACACACACACACACACACCATTTAACCTTTATGATTGTCAATAATTTGTATAGTTGTGAAAATTAAGAGGATTTAAGTGTTTTCCCTGAAAATGTTAACATTTGTTTTACCTAAAAGTTAATATATGTATTTAATGCAACAATTGAATATATTTCATATGGTACAGTATGTATCATTGGTAGAAATACTACTAAATATTAATGTTTAAAATATGACATGTTTTGAGAGGTTTCATAGATAATAATAGAGAGAAGGTAAATCTCTGTTTTGTTTTGTTTTTTTTTGGGGGGGGGTCCGGTCATGGGGCCTGAACCCTGGGCCTGGGCGCTGTCCCTCAGCTCTTTAGCTCAAGGCTAGCGCTCTACCAGTTGAGCCACAGCGCCACTTCTGGCTTTTTTCTTTTTGTTTATGTGGTGCTGAGGAATCGAACCCAGGGCCTCAGGCATGCAAGGCAAGCGCTCTACCACTGAGCCACCTTCCCAGCCCCAAATCTCTGTTTTTTTGATTGAATACATTTCATTTTGTACAATGCTTTAATATCACAAATTATTGCTATAATCTGCCCTTTTAAAAAAGATCTCATCCAAGTCCTGGTAGCTTATGCCTGTAATCTTAGCTACTTAGGAGACTGAGTTCCAAGGATGTGATTTGAAGCCAGACCAAGCACGAAAGTCCATGATACTCTTAGCTCCAATTAACCATTGAAAAAAACCCAAAAGTGGAATTTTAGTTCAAGTGGCAAAGCACCACCCTTGAGCAAAAATAAAGCTAAATTAGAGAGTGAGGTCCTGAGTCAAGCTCCAGTTTAGTCATACACAAATAAAAACACATCTGATTATATTCATTCTATTAAAAAGCATGAGGAAGATATTATTTTCACTTCACAAATTAAGAAACTGAGACTCACGGAAGTTCAACTTCTTGTTCAAGATCAATTCTTAAACCTGGACATTCTAAATGTCTAAAGGGCTAGAAATACTTGTGCATAGATCATCTGAGCCACCATACAGCAGCTGCTTTTTGACTACATCCAATGATACTTGTTTGTGATGAAGTCTCTTGTGCTTATATTTCCAGGCTTGCTAACTGAAATCCAATGTAAATCTAAACGACTGAGAAAAAATGTGAAGCAACATGCAGATCAGACTGCTCATGAGGACAGTGAAGGACGTGACTTGCGACAAGTGACCTCCACGACCAAGTCATTTAGGGTAATCACATGCCATGGCACCTGCCAAAGCCAGCAGGAGATGGGACTCCCAGGAACCCAGGGATAGGGTTGAGAGGTTTGCAGATCACAGGCAGCAGAATTTCCCTTTCAGTTGTGTATTAAAATGGGTTCCTTCCTTTGTGTATAACCGAGACAAATGCAAAGTTAAATAATATCAGTGTATAAGGTTAGAAAAAGTAGAAATTATCCCTGGTTCCTTCCATTCTACTCCTTCCACTAGGGAAATGATTTGGTGCACAACTGGATATTGATGTCCATTTCTTCACACTGAAAATCCCTTCAACTCAACCAAGGCTGTGAATTTGTCCCTGCCTACAAAGAAAACAGAGATGAATACTTAACAGCAAACCAACAGAGAAAAGCCAAAGCCATTTGTGAATTTCTCAAGAAATCCTTTCAGTAACATAGGATGAAATAAGGGAACAGTACCCTGGGTGATTAGACACATGCATATATCATGACAATGTACAGAACATTTGGAAGAATTTTAATTACCTGAAATAAACAATAAACCCTATGAGCTGGAGATCTGGTCAGATAACTCATGACCAATCACCATAAGGACTTGATTTGCAGGATAGAGCCCACAGTCTTTTACTCTATCAAATTAGATATTTTAGACTTTGGCTACATGGTCTTGTTTACAACTTGTTAACTGTGCCACTTCAGCCACATAGACAATATACACGCATTGGACTGTGGCTGTATTCCAATAAAACTTTATTTTAAGACCGGGTAGATTTGGTCCATCGGCCACAGTTTGTCAGCCTCTAAATATGGAGTAGATATTCCTAGATGGAGTTTTCATTTTTTCTTTCTTTCTTTCTTTCTTTCTTTCTTTCTTTCTTTCTTTCTTTCTTTCTTTCTTTCTTTCTTTCTTTCTTTCTTTCTTTCTTTCTTCCTTCCTT